CTATTCAATAGGAAAGAATCCTCCCACTTCCCTTAATCCCTCCCCACCCATCTCAAGTTCAAAGTCGAAATCTTTAACTTGGAGACTCAACCCCTTAACTAATTAAACACCCACTTGGGGGCACGGACCTTCGGTTCTAGCGACACTAATAAATCAACTATCAAACAATCCAAATTGTGATAAAATTTTGCTCATTCAAAAACAACGGAAAACAATCATTTTCCCAATTCAAAACATTCCCATTCAATTGCAATTCAAAACCAAGCACGATTCTAGTAATTAGAATTCATAGGGTCAATTAAACTAAAAAAAAAAGGATTCGTTTTATAACCTAAAAAGAATTCAGAGATCGGAAGGAAAAGAAAATTGGAAGGATGAGAAAGTTAGCTTACATTTGAGAGAGGCAGTGTACTGAGAGTAGCACTGAGAATCAGCGAGTCTCGCTGCGCTCGGGTATGGCGTTGTTGCAGGTATTGACCCCATGCTTCTTCCTCCTTCCTCCTCCTCCTTGGACTCTAATCGTGTTCCTGGTTGGACCCGGGCGTTTTATTCATAGAGTCAATTCCCCGAACTAATGGGTTGGGTTACTGGCCCAAATAATAGACTAATGGGTCGGACTTTTTCAAAATCTTTATCTTTTTTTTTGGGGATATTTATCATATTTTGTTAAGAGGAATTTATTTTATAATATAAATTATATTATATTACAAAATATAAATTATTAAATAAAAAGAAAACTCAATATAAATGTACTAATTTTTAACGACTTAAATAATTCAATGGTAATCTCATTTCGTTGAAAGTAAAAAGTCTTGAATTTAAATCTCATTGCATATATGTGAAATGAGATAAGAGATATGAGATATGAGAGAATTACTTTCCGTTATGCAACTAACATAAAAAAAAAAAAAACTAACTCTCTAATTAATAATTAATATAATATAGTTAAGTATAGTTTTAAAGTGTATTAGATTTCTTTTGTTTTATCACATCAACATTTTTTTACATTATTTTTTTATCAAGAAATAAAAAGTAAAATGAGGTGGAGAAATATCAATAATCTATAGATGAAATATAAATATTCAAATAATTGATGAAATGTAAATATTTAAATGGTGGAAGAGACTTAACTTCTCAATTAACTTCACCAAACTTAGGATGAACTATTAGATTGAAGGGTTTGATTTGGGTCCTTTTTATTCATTTGAATTAAGTAAAATGTAAAGTTGACTTTGATGGACCCGCCAATCACTCTTCCCCTCACCTTGTCTTGGCCGGTTGATGACTCTTCTTCTCAACGCGCTCCACTCCATGGTGCCGTACACCAATAAAAGAACACAAGTGCGTGCATGTTACCCTCTCTTTTTATCCAATTCTAATATGGTCCCTCTGCCTTTTGCCTCCCTGACAGCTCAAATTAAAGACATCCACTGTAATAATCTTTCCAACATCCCCAAAAAGCTTTCCCAGAAAAAAAAGAAAAGTATGCCCCTTTTCCTTTCTTGAGACTCCCTTCCTTCCTACCTTCATTAAAGTCCAAAACTTATGAGAGTGTGGTTCAGGTGGATAGAATGAGTAGTGTCACGGCGAAAGCCACGGCCACGGGGGCCACGCAGACCAAGTTCATAAAATGTGTCACGGTTGGGGATGGAGCTGTTGGGAAGACATGTCTTCTCATCTCATACACCAGCAACACTTTCCCAACTGTATTTTTTCCCTTTCTGTGCTTTCTCTGCTCTGGCTTCTGGTGTGCATTTTGGTTATTTATGATGGGTTTTCCCTTTTTGTTTGGGTTTTTTTGGCAGGATTATGTTCCCACTGTGTTTGATAACTTCAGTGCCAATGTCATGGTTGATGGGCAGATTGTCAATTTGGGTCTTTGGGATACTGCTGGTATGTTCTTTTTCTTTATCTCTCCTGCTTGATTTTCACCAAATTGGGAAAATTTATTGCTAGCTAGTCTTTTTTAACTTGTTAGTTTAATTTTTTTTTTTCTTGGGGATTTCAAGTTTTAGTGTGAAGGAATGGTGATTTTGAATTTCATGATTCCTAGAATCAATTATAATTCTAAAGGCATGTGGAGAAGTTGAAATGAACAAGAATTTGTAATTTTAAAAATATAAATTTCATTTTTGGTACTGGCAACCAAAACAGCTACAAACAATTCCTGGGACATTGATCTCTCATAGCATTTTGAGATGAAAAATGTAGCATAAATTGTTAATTTCCACAAAAGAAAGGGCAGAGATACAGTTATATAATAAAGTTAATCCTGCTAGAAGTGAAGAAGAAGACTCATTATACCCAAGTAATAAGTTTTTTTTTTTTTTTTTTTTTTAAGGTGGTTGTGTTTTGAAACTTAGAAAGCACTTTATAAGGGCCCTTAATTCATTTCAGGAGATGAATTATCTTATAAAATAAATCAATGGAATCCATCTGCTTTTGAGAACCAATTATTACAAAACATAGATCATCGAATAAATGATGACTTTTTTCTAGTGGAATATTTGGGAATTGGGATCGTGGGGCAAAAGTGACATCTAAAAGTGAAAGGATTGTATGAGGTCTCATACTAATTAAATAATTTATACAGGTCAGGAAGACTATAACAGGTTGAGACCTCTAAGTTATAGAGGAGCTGATGTTTTCATCCTTGCTTTCTCCCTTATAAGTAGGCCTAGCTATGAGAACATATCCAAAAAAGTAAGCTTCTTTTCTTTCATTCTTTTATCTTTCAAATCATTTTATAAGTTCAATTTTGATTATGTTTTATGTGCATTGTTTAGTATAATGCATGATTGTACAATTCTCTAATTGCTTTACATGTCTTCCTTCTTTTGCCTTATGCTCTTTTGTTTTGGAGAAAAGTGGGTCCCGGAGCTGAGACATTATGCGCCATCAGTGCCCATTGTTCTCGTGGGGACCAAATTAGGTGATGCATTCTCTCCCTCCACTCTTATATTGCTTCTGCAAATGGATTTTCCAGAACCATTCCTTTGCTTATGAATCAAGTTTCTAAGTGCTGTCAATACTTGAACAAATGCCTCTTTCTTCCCTTTTTATTTTTTATTTATTTTAAATAAGAGTCCAGATCATAGTGATATGCCTGTACTATGTACATGGCATGAACATTAGGTGTTAATGTTGGTTGCCAATGGTGTTTAATTTCCTTCAAATTAGTTTGCATCCACATTTTGGATGGACCAATTGGCACTGGTACAATTTTCCATGCTTGACGTTTGTGTGTGCAAATGCATGCTGTTGTTTCTGCTTAATGGAGAATTGCTTAAAATACAGATTTAAGAGAAGACAGGCAGTTTCACATGGATTATCCAGGGGCATGTACCATTTCCACTGAACAGGTCGGCAGCTATTACTAAATATTGCTTTCCACAGACATATTAATACGTGGGACTATGCTGATTTAGAAATATGAAATATTTACAAGAAGGACTAATCTTTTTTTGAAAAATTAATATTGAAACAATAAACAAGAAACTTGCAGGAACCATATATGATTGTATTTGCAAGAACCGGGATAATGTTTGTAGATTGTTATTCACTTTTTTATGAAAGTTCGAGCCAGCTTAGCACATTATTATTGAGGTTCGGATTGTAATTACTACAAATTTTGCATTGCTAGGGTCAAGAGCTGAAGAAGCAAATAGGAGCATTGGCTTATATAGAGTGCAGCTCAAAAACACAGCAGGTTTGCCATGTACCTTTGTATGTTAATTTCTAAGCACAAAACAATATTGTGTTATCCTGCAGTTTCTTTTGTCAATTATCTGAAATGTAATCTAGACATGGTTTAAGGCTTGTTTAAGGGAAAATAGATTAAAAACTGGCTGTAGTAGAGGTAAGGTTGTAGCTCAACACCTGAATTGAAAACCAATTTCCTATATATACTAGCTGTAATTGGCTCTATATTATTCAATATCAAAGGTATTTTAATCCCTTCAGCCAAAGAAAATGGCGTTTTAATCCGAAAAGGCATGAGCTGATTTCCCATAACTAGCTGTAACTGGCTTTATATTCTCTGCAATGGTGCAATATTCTTCATCAGAAGTTTGATTTCCATTATCAGTCTTCCTAGCTAAAACAACATTGTTGGTTGTAATTGCAGAATGTGAAAGCTGTATTTGATGCCGCTATCAAGGTGGTTCTTCAACCTCCAAAGGCCAAGAAACATAAGAAAAGACCAAGGATCTGCTATGTTCTTTAAGCAAATCCCCACATGTGTACTAATGCCAATTGCCAAGTCCCAGATGAACACGACACTCTTCTCCAATAGTTCTGCTGTCTATTCCTCTTCCAATTTGTTATTACTTCTGTTGAGTGCTTCCTCTGTTTTTTAAGTAGGAAAAAAACTCGTTGTTTAATGCCTGGAGTTCCTCATTAGACCATTGTATTCCGATTAATCTGTGTTTGGAAATATTACCTTTAAGAAATCAATGATGTTGCCTTAAATTCTCAAGTGCAATGTCAAATTGTTAATCCATAACTGATGCATGGTAATACGGCATGCCCAAAAGGACAAGTATAATATATGGATGGAACTCACGAGCAGGTGGATGCTTAGGTAAGAGACTCTTTTAGTTTAATCAGAGGTTTTGTTTTTAAGTCTTAAAAATACAATTCTGTTAAAACTCTTGAAGGAGAACTTTGCCGTCCATAAGGTCTGCCTGTCTTAAATTCAGTTTAATGAATGACTCAATAAATTTTTAGATACCTGGTGGTCTAAACAGAGAGAAAAAAAAATAATAATAATAATAATATAGGGGATGAAAAAAGCGAACTGCGTTGTTGGACTTGATGCGGGCCGGGGTAGTGAGGCTGTTTCAGCTGGCCCTGTTAAGGAAAAGATCTCCTTGATCTCTTCATGAGCAATTCTTGGTCTTTATTTATGTCAATCTTTGATTTAGTACATATTATATTATTCATATTTTATGTTTCCTTTTGTAATAGGGTTACCAGACTTTTACTTGCCCTCCTGTATACGGCATACACATAAATGAAATTGAGTCATTCCTAATTCTCTTTGTTCAAGCTTCATTAGTGGTATCAGAGCAGGGGAGGACACTGGAGAGATAGTTGGTAAGCTAGTAGGTGAGAGTGATGGTGAGCCGGTGTTAGGTGAGACGGGTGAGGCTGGAGTTTGAGGAGAGGGAGAACGTTAGGGTGAGATGGATTGGCTTGACAAGGAGTTGGCACAGTACCGTGAATGTACTGGGAAAGAGATCAATTAAATATATGATCAGAGGAAGCCGCAGCATTGGGATAGGATTCTTGCGAAGTGGACAAAGGGGATGACGCCAAGAGTAAACGTGGCTCAATTGAGATTTGCCTAATTTATACATGTACCTTTGTGACTTAAAACATAGATTAAATCTGTAATAAATATATTTTTATATAATTAATTTATAAAAAAATAAAAATTAATTTTTATTGTAATGTCAATGTCACGTGAACAGTTTTAATTAATCAATTAATTAAATTTAAATAAATTTTTATTAATTTTTATATAAATTAATTATAAAAAATACCTATATTGTGTCTTTAACTTACACTCTTAAAAATCCATAAAAGTATCATGAGGGTGAAAGAAATTGGGAGTACCCAATAAAAGCAAGAAAGCAACCTGACTGTTAGTTTTCTACAATCACACTTCGGAACTAGAGATTATTAATTAGCGACGGTAAAGGCCATTCCTGATTGTCAAAAGTTCAGCAGCAATTAGTGCAGTTCCTATATATGGCCAATATATTTCTCATAAAGACAACAACCCTCTGAGTACTCACTATAATAATTACTTAATTAACTCAAAATCACACTTAAATCTTTTATACTTAATATTAATTGGGATTTTTTAATCGGAGTTTTTAAGTTTTTTTTTTTAAAATTTTTTTTAGAAATTAGATTGATAAAATATGTTTTTTGACTTGAACTTTTAAGATACAAGTTAATAGTGTAGTAATAAATTTTTATAAGTAAATGTAAAAGTAAATATTAAATTTAACATCAACACCACCTCAATGATATTTATTAAGTAATTGGTGTCAATTTCCAAATCTTTGTGCTGATGGCATCTAGACTACAAAATGTAACTCTTGTCTTCCCATTACTTTTGTAAGGGTGAGTACCCCTTGTACTCTTTTAATAAAATTTGATTCATCAAAAAAAAAAAAATTGATTGATAATTTTAAAATTAATTTTGATTTTTTTATTTAAATTAATAGTAAAAAACGTAATTCACCAATGAAGATCCAATTAATTAATATACACCATTTAAGAAACAACTTGAAAAATTCTGAAAAAAATGTAATTAATACATAATCAAAAGTCATTTCAATAATGAACAATTCAGCTGAAACAAAGTACAATTAATACACAGTCAAAAATCATTTCAGTAATGAAAAAATTCAGCCGAAACTAAGGACAAAAAAATATATATATATAGTTTGATACTTTGATTTTGATGGTGCCATTGGGGTTGCTTTTCAAACAGGGTCTAAATTTCCAAATCTCTCTTTTTCCATCTTTAAAATCTGCCGATCTCTTGCAGCCACTTCTTCTTCGGCCCCACTTGTACAACATCAAATTTCTGTGATAATATCCAATCGTCGCGCGCTGTTGCATGTCAGGTGGGCTCACCAACTTTTCGTGACGGTTCTACTAAACCTAACCTCCACCACCCATCTTAATTTTAATTCCTCCGCAAGAAGTAAAAAAATCGCCATGGATCACTCAGATAGGCAGAATCATTTCGTCCAACACCTAAAGAACTCCATCTCCATGTCAAATTTCACAGTCATCGGTTTTCTCTCAATTGGATTGCTCTACTTCTTCATTTGGTCTCCTTCAATCTCAAACCCTTTCTCCTCCCTCCCCCTCTACCAAAACATCAACTGCCCCCACTATAATTCATCTTTTGTAAGTTCATTTCTCAATCACACAATTCATTTTAGTATTAATTATGATCCCAACTTGCGCGATCATCCATAAATAGATCTCCCTGTCACCTTAATATTATTTTTCTTGGTTAATTAGCAGAAAACTATCAAGTTCCCTATAGATGAGCTCGAATTGGCACTGGAGGAAGCTTCAATGGCGAACAAAACAGTAATCATCGCAGTCGTGAACAGAGCATACGTAGAACAGGGCGTAAACGCTCAAACCACGATGTTGGACCTTTTCACGGAGAGTCTCTGGTTGGGAGAGGACACTAGGCCACTGCTCGATCACCTTCTGCTCGTCGCCGTCGACCAAATCGCGTACGATCGCTGCAGATTCAAACGACTGCACTGCTACAGACTGGTGACGGAAGGAGTCGATTTCGGCGGCGAGAAGGTGTACATGTCCAAGGATTTCGTCAAGATGATGTGGCGGAGAACGTTTTTCCTCCTTGAAGTTCTCAAGCGTGG